CGTATGGACATTGTTTTCTCGTCTGGAACACGCGTCCGAACTTAGTTCTCCCGTTCCCATCCCTCAGTGGCTTAATATGGATAAGGTTAAAAAGTCACTACACCAGCTGTTTCAAGAGTTGTAATGAAAGCACTTTGACTTCTGGCATGACTGAGACCCTCATTATGGTATATAAAAATGGTGGTGTATGTAGAACATGATGGGCAAAGTAGCTTTAAAGTTATAATAAATGAGTTTCATGTTTCTGTGTGATTCTCATACAAACTAAGCAAAGAAAGTGGTCATTCTCCCACCACGAGAATACTTTAAAAATAACCTTTATTGCATTGTTCATCAACACGCCACATGATGTGCTTATATCATTTCAGTATTTATAACAGTCCAGAATCATAAAAAGCTAAACTAAATGTGCATGAGCTGAATCTGTTATAACTGGGCCCACATGATAAGATGTAACACCAAGTAGCTTCATTTGAAATGCATAAGGAAAACGTTATCTCGGACTCAGTGATTTAACTTGTTTAAATACTTTTATTTGGTAACAAAAGATTTCAAGCTGAATTAAAAAGGATGTGTACGGATTTGAAAATGAAAGCAGTCCAACAATGAGGTATAATAAAGTATAAGGATAGCTTTTCAATGTTGTTACTTCATATGTCTTCAAATTATTGAAAGATTTCCAACGCCAGCTCTTTATCAATGAGAAAGAAAGTGCACAAATGGAAAAATCCTTCTCCTTACTGGAGAGGACCTCACCTTCATAAATGAAATCATTAACCGATTCCAGCGCTGGATTGCACATTATTATGAAATCTTTAAGTCACATTAGGGGTGTACTGTCAAGTTTAAAGAAGTTGCTGCTAAGAAGGGATGATAAGTTTGAGGGTGTGGTCTAGGGCGATGGCTGTCAGACCCCACACTCGATGCTTCCCGTTACGAAACACTGGGACGGTGTATCCGTACTTGTTGCCGGTGCGGAAGTGTGTGTAGCCACGGTTCTGAGGGTTACACAAGTGGGACAAGGACAGGGTGAAAATCTCCTCCACCTGGGACAGAAACAGGCAAAGAAGGCACAGTTTACAACTTTGGATTGAAATAAAAACAAGCAGAAAACATGTGCTTTGAAATGCATCGAGGAAAGAAAATGAGAGATAATGCCAGCTAGCTTAAACTGATTAACTGAGTATTAAGGTAGATGATAACCAAGTCAGACCTGGAGATAATTTGATACAAAACAGCAAAAAAAAGAATATACGTAATACCTATAAACGTATTTAGAGCTGGCTATGATAGTGGTGTGAAATCATACACCTACAAAGATATATCAGCTCTTTACTAGTGTCTGTTATAGAAGACATTACTGACATAACATGCCATTCATGTTGGAAAAAACTAAACAGTAATATGGAAACCTGTCCCTCAGAGGCAGATATAACATTTATAAATTGCAAAACAATAGGATGACTGTACCTCTCCAGGGTTCGGTTTGAAGGACATCTCCTCTAGGGGCCCGAGGTTAGCAAGCACAGGGGCTATCATCATGCCTGACTGGTGAGAGAGACAAACTACCTTTACGATCAGAGCAAGTCTCAGTATTCAGTGTGTGGGTGACACAAAAAACGTTTTTCCTTCTTTATTGTTAGGATATGTTTATCTGTGGCCAATGACAAAGCACAGTCTGTCTGATAGTGAACATAACGAGAAGTGCCTTAGGCCTAAACAGGCTGAATGTAAGGCTAGTGCAGGGATAACTCTAGCGTTAGGGTGGGTATTCAATTTGCAGATAATTAATAACAAACAATTGACATATTCAAGTGAGTGTTAAAAAAAAAACGATCCAACTGTTTTATGGCATCGTAAATAGAATATTCCTGGGTTGCGACCGATAGTCCTAAATAAGAAGTCTTGGCATGTGCTTTTGTAATAGAGATAATTTAATAGTTTCACTACCATCAACAGACTGATGGCATTGTTATCGCTTATTGGATGAAGTCCTTTTAAATACTTTTTTTAATCCCTTTACAAACCTCATAAAAAAGAAACTTTTAAGAGAAGCAAATTGATTTAAAAGTGAAGTTTCTCCACTGTAGAGCCATCAGTGGCACCCTACCACAATTGTTTTAGTGACTGCCATACATTCATAAACAGTAATAATGATATCATCACATTTTAAATGTATTATTTGATGTAGTCATAACACTGCACTGACACCCACCATGTCCCTGAGAGGCTTCAGGATGCCCCAGACCTTCTCTGTTGCCACAGAAACACCAAGCTCCTCCCTGGCTTCCCTCAACGCTGTGTCCACCACATCCACATCTGATGGATCACTCTTTCCTCCTGCAAAACTAGAAAGAAAAAAAACTGGAAATAAGAACAGATGCAGCCTTCTACAGGAGTTCAAATGCAACTTCTATCCTCCCACTTACCTGACATCTCCCTTGTGCCTGCCCTTCAGTGTGCTGGAGCGCAGAGTAAAGAGAAATGCAGGCTCCCCATGATCAGAGCACAGAGAAACTAGGACTGAGGCCCATCTCCCCTGGTTCTTTCCCTGGCTTGCCCGCTGTTTCCCCTTATCCACTTCGTACAGCTTCACATTGGGCCCCAGTCTCTGTCGACACCTGTTTTCATTCTCATGCGACAGACAATCTCTCCAGGTGTCGGCCACCTCAGGGGCAGCCTGATGGACGCCTCTGGTTTTGTGGGAAGAGAGGCTAGAAGGTTGTTGTCTGCTCTTTAATTGGTTAAAAATCCATGGCCTGTGTGTCGACGAGCTGAACGATCTAACAAAGTGCTGTCTGCTATATAAATGGCTTTGAAGAGGGTTACACTGAGTCTTATAGGTGAAACTGAGTGAAGGTTGGCTCACATCCCAAGCCCTTCTCCAGGGTTGAAGAAACGTTTTGTTGATAACACAGTTCTGGTAAGTGCTCACAGTCTTGAGGTTTTCAACTGTAGCTTTCACTACAGTAGATTTCAAAGAGGGATATGCTTGTTTGGCTTTTGCAGAGCCAGAAACCTGAGGGAGGTGATGATTGCTGGACAAGCTGGCTTTGGATAGGAGGTTTTGAAATGAAGCATCTTTCGGATTCTGATTATTACAGTCCACGTTACATAAAGGCAGCTGTGTTAAACAGGATACAGTCTCTGTGTTTAGTGATGACCCCTCCTTTCTTCCTCGGGTCGCTTCATATCTCCTTTTCTTTACATCTCTTGCACCCTGCCATCCAGAAGCAGTGTGTTTAGACAAAGCAGAGAAGGGAGATTCTCGTAATAGCAGCAATGGCCTTATGGGACAAGACCAAGTCAGAACCCAGCGGGCCCTAAACATCCTATAAAAAATTAAAAAACACAAAAAAGCAACATCATTTGCCAAATTCACAAACCAAGGGGAGTGAGGTGAGGTTAAAAATGTGAGGTCAAACGACTGATCTGAGGGCACAAGTTTATCCAAATTTAACAAGCACTATTGTAATGTATGAATGCACTTGTAAATACTTGAAATACTCAGGTAAAGCTCAAGTCACTCAAACGTGTACTTAAGTACAGCACAGTAAATGTACTTTACAGCACTGTGTATGCCATCTCAGAATCAGATCAGAGCTGTTACGGACACAAACACTTATTTCATCTTAACGTGATTTCTCCAAACCCAAAGAGTACAGCTGGTAAAACCTAAATGTGCTGAAGTTAATCAGATCAGCTGCTGTCAAATTTTGGATTACGAGTTACATCTGCTGGTTACAACTAGCTTAGCTTACTTTTGTTAGCTACGTTAACAATATTTACAACGAGATGTCATATTACGTTGAAGTGCCAGGCTTGTTAGCTTCTCAACTAACAACTATAACTAATACAAGCTGGTTTTAGTATTCGACATTATCTACTTGTTGTTCTACTGGCTCTGAAATCAGGTGTTAACATATAACATGAACAGGCTAACGTTAACTAGCCTGTTAGCAAAATACAAATGAACCCAAAAGCTAAACCTTATATGTGGTCAATGGGACGGATCCGACAAGTCGAACAGAAAGGGAAGTGCAATTTGCGATATTAAAATGTAAGTTAAAAGAAAACACTCACCTTGAAAGTTGAACAGCAGTTGGCCTCTTGCCCAGCTAGCCGGCTCAGCTGCCAGTAGTCAAAATGGCGCAGAGTAGCTTCATGAGCGTCAGAGTTGCCCTCACTGCGCTGTGGTGACCCGCAGGACTTTCTTTCACAATTATTCAAACAACTCACTGAAGAAACAGATGGGAGGAAATCATGATAGCTAGACTCAGAAGAAATCACACAGTATTGAATGATACACTCACTGTATATCATGGGGGAAAGTGACAGTGACAAGTGTTGGAACTGTGGAAGTAAAAGAAAATGTAGAACTATCTTATCGTTACATTGTGACATCTATAAAGCTGAAAGAGAACAACTAAAGGCTAAAGTTATAGAGGCAGAGAGGGAATGGAGTGTGTTTGGTATTTTGGGAACAAAAGGAGAGGGAGTAAGAGCTACCAGAAAGGCACTGTTTACCTTTCTGAGTGAAACTGGGGTAGGACAAATAATTTAACATTAGGTCAGGAAAGATCATAGATTTTTATTTTGTTTTATTTATTTTATGTTTTTTGTTTATTTTTTTATTTTTTTATTAGATCATAGACATATATACGTCCATGAGTTAAGAGATGGAATGATATGATGATTCCCACTCATGTACAGTAGGTGGTGGTATGCACCTTTAAAGTTGTTTGCAATCCGCCAAAAACCGAGAGAAGAAGAAGAAGTTATAATACTGACATTATTTACTGATGAAATCACTGGGGGAACTTCCCATTGTCTGCAAACGTACGTCACTACTACTCAGGCCTCAGGTGAAACAGCTGTCTAAATTGAACTCCACAATAACGAGGCCTGGACTAACACACATGTTCAAAAATATTTAACAAGCCCTAACATCACTATCTGGCTTAATTTCGCAACGTTAGGCCTATATGCAAGATTTTTAACAGTATTTTTTCAGAGTGATTGACAGTAAATTGGCATTAAGCCCATATGATACCATTTATCATTTGACAAACTATAGGAAGCCATGGGCCCTGTGACATAAACATTATAAACACCTTACCAGACCTGTTTTACCAGCTCCACCTTGAGTCCAGGCTGCCTCTGCTCTTAAGCAGCATAGTTTCATGTGAACTGGCATTTCAGCTTTGCCCTCTGCGAGTTTTTGCTTTAACTTAAAGCACTTGCATTATTTCTAGTTCTGTTGACTATTTTTCTAGTTCATTAACCTATTTAAACAGGGAAACTTGTGGTTGTCTAACGTCCAGGTTGATCTCCAAGAAATACAGGTAATTATTCTACATTCCACCCGGGCACCATGGCCTCAGCCTGGTCTGAAGAAGAGACCTTTGTTTGCTCAGTATGCCTGGACACCCTGAAGGACCCAGCCACTCTACCCTGTGGACATTCATACTGCTTGGCATGTATCCAGAGCCACTGGGACAAGGGAAACCGCAAAGGTGAGTACAGCTGCCCCCAGTGTAGGCAGGTGTTTAACCCTCGACCCTCGCTGGCTAAGAGCACTGTGCTAGTGGAGGCTATGGAGAAACTGAGAACAAACAGCCTCAGACAAAGCTCCTCCAAAGCCGTCTCCTCTGCCCCGCCATCAATGCCTATCTACCTGGAGGTCCTACCAGGAATAGGGCCGCGTCCGGGCAGCATGTACCCTCAGCTTCCAACAGTGGAGCCCAGGCCCTGCCCTCAACACAAACGACCCCTGGACCTGTTTTGCCACGAGGACAAGGAGTGTGTGTGTGAAGTTTGTTGCCAGCATGGACATGAGGGACATCGTGTGATCAAACCACAGGCAGAGAGGAGGGAGAGACAGGTATGTAATGGACAGGGCAAATATCAAACGGGAATATTATCAATACTCTTTTGTCCTTTCTATGTTTTATCTCATGTTGGTCAGAGAAAGTGCAGGTAAAATAATAACTTGTGTTGTTCATAAGATGTATCATTTCCAAAATGTAGATGAACCTGAAGTACTTGTGAGTTGTTTTTTATTGTGGCGTTCCTGTGTGGATGTGTTCTTACACTTTCCTAAGGATAAACTGCATCTTTGCAAATGACCCACCTCAAAGTTCAATCTAGGTCACTCTGTCCTGCATGCAAAAGTTTATATTTCTATATTAATGTCCTTGTTTTGTGGTTGTGCACATACGGCACAACCCATAGGTTTTCATACACAAAACCTATATTAGTTACAGTATCGGACATTTCCTTTCAATTACAAATTCACAATTACAAAGTTATTTAAACACTCGCTCCTTAATAAAATATTCTGCCTTTTTATTCCAAGCTTGGCAAATGTAATCTTGACAGAAAAGGATCCCTTCCAACTACACCTCACCATTTTTACTATAAAAGTACATCCTTTATGTCCCTCGTTAGTCACCCAAAGAGGACTTATTTCCTCAATTTGACGAATACCACCAAACAGATCAACGTTGTCCTCTGAAATGGCATAAAAGTCGCAATTCTCCAGGCTAAAAAAATTATTTAAACTGGAAATGCCTGTGTTCAGTAATGTGTGTGTGTTGTGTTTTGTGTGTGTGTGTGTGTGTGTGTGGGTGGTGTGTGTGTGTGTGTGTGTGTGTGTGTTGTTGTGTGTGTGTGTGTGTGTGTGTGTGTGTGTGTGTGTGTGTGTGTGTGTGTGGTGGTGTTGGTGTGTGTGTGTGTGTGTGTGTTGTGTGTGTGTGTGTGTGTGTGTGTGTTGTGTTTGTGTGTCCAGAAAGACTTAATCGAGATGCAATAGGAAATACAGAAGGAGAATTCCAGAGACGGAAAAGAGGCGTATAGAGCGAGCTGCCACATGCTGCCCCCCAACACCAAAGTAAGACATTATGTAGTTTTGAGGAGAAACCTTTTGGAGACCCATCTCATTTTTGATGTGGTTTGTTGATTGTTACAACCAAACACATTTTACAATCCTTGGTACCCTCTTTCTCCTCCTCTTTGGGAATTTCGTAGGCCTTGGTGCAGGCTCTTAAATCCAAGAGAGCATAGATTTATTTCTGGAGCTTGTCAAGACTGTGAATCAAACAGGCATCCAGGTCGTGAGGTTCCTCAGCACCCATGAGACCTCTTAGGTAGCGGTTTGAAGGGACAGATCCACCGACTGGAGCAGGGGGTGGCATCGCTGCGCTGGAAGAAACAGGTAAAGGCAACAACAATGATGTGAGGCTGGGCTGAGCAACCCCAGTTACTGAAGGACAGGACATGTGCACAGACACCCGGACATCTGCTTCTTGAAGGCTAATTAGGTGGTGGGTCGTGGAACTAGAAATAATCAAAACCACTTGATTTTATCATTGGATCCCACAGAGATTAAGGTTCACCAGTAATGACATTTAATCCTATTCTTATTTTCATACATTTTGTTGTTTCTTCTAAAGAAATTTCTTCATCATGGAGCCGCCGGGGTCAGGGACAGGTGCAATAGGAGAGGTCGATTACGAATCAGGCAGGAAGCCGGTGATTAGCCTCTGTTTCGCTTACCATTGAAAGAACTACAGGGCAACATGTGATGTCTTGCAAGCCCAGTCTGGCCTTAGTATCACATTATGGTCTCTGAATGATTTTATTCCCTTTCTCTCTTTCTTGCCATTCTTCTCAATTTCCATACATTCAAAACCTGTCCCTTTTTTTTTTTTTTTTTTTTGTATGTAATCCTGATGCAGCTGGCTTCAACAGTCCATATGATGCCTCAGGTCAGCAGCGGCAGNCCTCGACAAAAAGCTGGGTCTGTCGGAAAAAACTGTATGAGACTCAGCAGGAACATCTCCACATATTAACACCGCTTCATGAGTTTCGAAGCGTAAATGCAATCGCCAGAAGTAAAAAGCCAACGTTAGGCTATAAAGGAACTACATCACGTCACCAACGCTAAGCTAAAGGCGGCTAATGTTGGGAGTGATGACGTTTGGGAGTCTCATCTAGCCACATGCTAGCAACCGCTGGTTTTGTTAAAGGGGACCTATCATGCTATATTTGAATAATATAGTGTAGGACCATACCTATATAAGGCATATTTATACTTTTTATTTTTCAAAATACCAAACAGATCATGCATTTTAGCCATTCCTCATTTCGCTCAATTTAACACTGTCTTTGCATGGGCTGATTCTGTGAGAACAGCACCATCTACAGGCCTGGCATATGTACTACAGCGTCTCCAGCGCTTTCGAATGGCAATGTCCGTGGCTGTCTCCTCCTGATTGGTGGAGTTGGCCCAATAGCCGTAGCGCCACTTCTGTGACGTCACAGAAGTGTTCAAATCTGGATCAGTCTGTATCAGATCCGTTGCAGCCCCTTTTTAAGAGATTTGGGTATGGAGGAAATTAGAGAGGGTTGTGTTTTATGACACTTGGTGAGTTCCCTGGAACACCGGGGACACATATTCATGTATAAAAGACGTACAAAAGTGCATTTTGCATGATAGGTCACCTTTAAACAAAGAAGTTAAGAAATATTCACCGGTTGGGTATTTACGGAAATATTTTATGTTGGAGAACAAAACCAGAAAATATATTAAGCTTGTGTTAACCATAGACCTTATTCAGGCCTCTTTCCAAAAACTCGTTAAAAAACTGTTGGATAAGGGACCAGGACGTGCTAAAAGGACTCATTCCTACACCACTCTTAGGAACATTCTGAAACATAAGGACAAAGAAGGGGAAAGAAGATAGGTGACATACTTTTGTTTCCTTGCATTGGATGCATATCATTGGTCCATTCAGTAACTCCCAGAAACACGTCCGCCACTGAATCTCCGTCAACATCCCATAACGCCAGCGCCGGCGGAGTTACACCTAGAGAGAAACACAACAAAGTGAACCACCTACAGCCAGTCCTTCTCACTGTTTGACTGAAGCTTAAACGACTAATAATAGGAACAAATATGTGAATCATAAGAGTCACAAACACTGATGTGGTCATTAAAAGACACAGTCCTGTCTTTGTGTTTATTTTCACTCCACAATGCTCTTATAGTGCATGCTGAAACAGAACATGTGGTGGGTAGACTGATGTAATTACAGTTTACAAATGAATGGGTGAGTCCGCGGTGTCTAGCCACAGAGACTCCCAAGTAAGTCTTTATAAAGTGAGCGTTATGAGCATGGCTGGATTTTGAGACAATGGGGTTCTGGACACAGATATGAGAAAGGCCCCTCCACCTTTCCTACATTTGAGCAAGAACCACAGATTGTATAGTTGTTAAGCATCTTTGTCTCTTGGCAACAACCTGGTGTCTCTTTGCACGTTTAACCCTTACAATTCAAGAGGTTTGGAAGGACTTTCCAGGCCCATCTCCCACAATTTCAAGGACTCACATTACTTGACAGACAGGAACAGGATTCACTGAGAGTGTGTGGAATGAGAACCAGCCAGATTAACAGAATGTCCCATCAGAGAAGCTCGAGCACTTACAATGACCCGGATCTATTTGTCTATCTCTTTTTACTTTCTAAGCTTTGATTTGTTTCCCCTAGGTTTTTAAGAACCACTGAGGAACAAGTAGTTGTTTTTGGTCACTCCATGGTGGTTTTGCATCTATTTTTTTGAATGTGACACTTTGGACCCCAGTGACCCCTCCATGATTAGAACTGGTGTAAGGCCAGTATGTGTAGCCTCAACAAATATTACAGAGAAAAGCATTTAGATCAGGGGTGTCCAAACTTTTTTCATCGAGGGCCACATACAGACAAATATATGAAGGGCTGGGCCACTCACCAGAGGTTTATCGCCTCATAAGTTCAGTTATAAGTAGGGATGCTCCGATATCGATCGGCCGCCGAACAAGCTCATCAAAATGGCTTCACCGGTCTGGCAGTATTTTAAGGTGTCTGTAAAATAGCGGTATGCAACGCGTGTGAAGCAGAAATCCTGCAGCTCCACCTGCTGTGACGGACCGGTGAGCGGAGCAACACACACACTAACGGTACGTCCACACAGCAGCTTTAAAAAAATCTTCCAACGCTTCTCTGCCCATTGACTTTAAATGGGGTGACGTCACTTTGCCTCGCTTTTCGCCGAACTGCATTGTGGGGAAGCAAAGCGAAGATTTCCAGGATTTTCAGGATTTTCAGGATTCAAAAGTTGAGCAATGTTCAACTTTTGAAGCTAATCGTCAGCCAATCAAATCCCGTTTATGCAAATCTGACAGTGCAAGCGCTAGCCAATCAAACCGCGTGCAAGCTGGGAGAGACATACCGCAGTTCATTTCCTCATATTCCAAACGAGATATTACGGTAGCAAATCACCCGGTTCTTTACGACCAGAACTATTTACCGGGATACAAACCGGAGGAACCAGGCATGGAGGGAGGTGGCAGAGACAGTGGGTGAAACTGGTAGGTTTTCGCCTGTTTGGGGATTTTATATCCAGTTTACTTTGTTTTAACATTGCTATTGCTTTGTATGTCGGGGGTGGGAGATTCATGTGATTGGTTGTTGGTCGCAAAAAATCCCCAAGCTTTCAGACACGCCCAATTCAAGATTTTCAAGATTTTTTCAAAGCTGCTGTGTGGACGGGCGTAAGAGTTAGACCTAACACACTATTTGATCTACCTCTGGAACAAGCTAAACCAGTACATGTATATCAGGGTTCATACACTTTTTTACAAATGATTTTCCATGACTTATCCATGACCAAAAAATTACTCTCTCATCAGTACCTATCTAAAACAAATCAAATAGTAGGCTTACTAGCTTCTGAACGCTAAAGCAACTCAAATCTCTCACCAGCAAAATACCTCTACAGTTAAATGTCATTTTACGTTTCATTACTATACAATACAATATTTATCATTATAGTATTACTATTTCGGCGATTAGATAAAATATAAATTAATATAAAAAAAAATATTGTTTTCCAGAGGCCTGGAATTAGCATTTTGAATTTCCATGACTTTTCCAGGTTTTTAATGACCTTAAGAACCCTGATATATGTATTCTTCACTGTCGGGTCACTCATTACTGGATTAGTGAGCTGCATGAGATACTAACAGGCTGTCAGGAGAGAGAGAGACAGAGAGAGAGAGAGAGAGAGAGAGAGAGAGATGAAAAGAGAAAGGCTCCCGTGTTATTCTCCAAAGTTATGTAAACTTGAATAATGTACTTCATTTGAATGTAATAATTATGTTGGTTGTTGTTTGTTGAAGCGCCAGTGAATGAGCTCCATTAACTGAGCTCCATTAACTGAGTTTTAAACATCACTTTAAATGGAAGATCCCCCTAGGCCCCGCCCACTCGATCAGATCGGTGATCGGTATCGGCCGATACTGATTCCGGCGATCGGCCCCAAAATTGGCGATTGGAGCATCCTTAGTTATAAGTTAGCAAAATCAATCAAACGTAGGTAATAATGCTTAATCAGCCTAAATCACAGCTCTCCAGAGGGTTTCAATTATTTTGTGAGCAGCTCATTCCTTAAAACAGAAGCAGCAGATTGCTTATCATAAGAGGAAATAGGAAGGGTTTATTTCAAGCTTGTTATGAAAATAAGTTATGGGCTTTTTTCTTACCAACTTAGATTTGGCAGAAAACTTTTCAACTTGAATGACTGAATTTTTAAAGTGGGCTTATTAGCACAGGATTACTACCGAGTGATATCTGTTCTCATCTATATGTAAGAGACAAGAGGGCCACACTCCATTATACTTTTTGAATTTGCTGAGGGCCGTAGTTTGGACACCCCTGACTATCATCCTTACCTCCGGCGTCTCCCAGCGCTCTCTCCCACATTGGCCTCTTCCCCAGATCTCCCTTCCTACAGGGGATCAGGAACGCACAGAGCAGCACGAGCAGCGCCGCGCAGACCAAGGGCACCAGGAAGAACGCACTTCGGATAGCAGTCTTCATCCTCATCCTCTTCTCCTCCGCCTCAGCACTATGAACCCCGGTCCCAGCCCCCCCTAACGTCCCGGGCCCTCCTCTGTCCTCCCCCGATCTGTCCCTCCCCGGGTCTCTGTGGCTCCAGTACTGCATGCCTTTCATTTCCTCTCTGTCCGGCCTGGATTTGCTGGGCAGTCGTTCTCTCCACTCGTCGTCGTCGTACTCCTCTTCCTCCTCCTCTTCGTCCTCTTGAGCCTCATCTTCGGCCCCCACCAGTCTTCCCGATCGCCCCCCCCGCAGCTTGGAGGGTCCCGAGCCGAGGCAGCCGTCTCTGCCCAGCCCGTTTCGGGGGTAGTTGAGGACGAGGTCATCCTCCTCGCTCTCGTCCTCGCTGTCGGCCTGGGTCAGAGGGTCGTACTCCCCCAGCTCCGAGCCCTTCTTCCCTGCAGACACGTCACAGTCAACGTCAACTTTATTGTCAGTCTTTCAGTTTGTGTGCACAGACAGAGAGATTGAAATACCGTTTCCCACAATCCCGAATACAAATATGTATATCATAGAAAACAGAAACATTTATACATATGCACAAATGAAAGGTGGGGTAGGTCATTTTGGAGAAACCAGCTCGAGTGCGCTAGAATTTGAAAATACACAGCCGGAAAAAATCTGCCACTTCCTCACAGAGCCCCTCCTCCAACACACACGAACGCGCACATGACCAATGAGGGCACGAGATAAGTTTGTGCACAGATGGAAGGCTGACAGGCAGGTAGGCCATCCAGTTATTTTAGCCGGGCCGGCTCAGATGATTGGTCGTGCTTTTTACAGCGCCACGGCTTCCACAGATGAGATATTTTAATGGATGTTTTGTCAAAGCATTTCAGATATTCATTGCTATCGGGATGTTAAGAGCATTCCATGGAATATAACAACAAGTGTATCTCGAGCCGGTTTCTCAAACTTACCTACCCCACCTTTAAGATAAAAACACAACAATCAATATATACAAAATAACAGTCACTTCAATATCTTTGGGAATGTCCATTAGTGCAAGACTGTCCATAGCAGCATAAAAAAGTAATAAAAAAATAATGTTGATACACAAATACTCATATCATCTCAATAATAGATCCCATTAATCCATATACTGATGCATTAGAGATGAGTCCTCTTACCGAGGATGCTGAGGGCGATCTTAAAAACACTTAAAATAGGTTGTGATCCCTTAACTGTGGCTACTAATAGTTTTCCTCCTCTGTAGGTAACGTCTTAGTGTCCTACACTTGGTACTCAAACATTTACACTCGGAATACCATTTTACTTTCTTTGAAATTAAAATTGTTCGATTTGTTCATATTTTAGGGATCGGGGAAGGTCCTACTCTCACAAAGTAGGTGAGTCAAGAAAATAACTTGTGAAGGCTACCCTGCATCGTGGTGCTGTTATCATGGATCAACTAGGTGGTACTTTATGTTGTTGTTGTTTTCCCATTGGTGTATTACAGGCTACTTCCATACATACTGTTACCTGTATCCATGTTATAATCATATATGTCACATTTAGGTAAGTTAGTGTGAAAAACAAATCTGGCACACAGTTTTCTGCCATATAAACTATTCAACAGGGGTCTCAAGTTTCCTGTAGATTGTTGTTGTTTACTTTTTACAGTTTAGGAGACGGGGAAGGTCCTAGACCTACGAGGCATCTCACAAAGTAGGTGAGTCACCTCAGTAAGCAGACCTTTTCCCCTTCAAAAATACTTCTCGTTATGTTTACGAGGACACGGGCGTCACCCCGCGTCGTTATTTTCCTTACTCATCAGTTTAAGGCATAAGTAGTACCTGGTCAGAGACAGGACTACAGACAAGGCCCGGGTCTTCTGGGTCACGGTGTCAACCTGATGTTTATAGGATTCTTTGTTTTTTAATGTTCGTTTTACTCAAACACATACCTATAAAAAGTAAAACCAGAGAAACTGATCATGCTGCAGTGGTCTCTTAAAATACCACTATGAAAACCCTGGAGCTAATTCACATCACTAGTTCCAATATATACACTTAATGTTTTTCATATCACATGTCATTTTTGTCTCATTTGTCCTACAGTGGGGACATGTATAGCAAAAGGGACAGTGCAGCTAAAAGATTTAAATAAGATGAGTGGAGGAATTCTATTCAATATTGAACAGAATTAAAAAGAGTATTTTATTTATATCTTAATATGTTTTGGCTTATCAGAATTACAATCCGAATACTTTACTTATCCAGCGGGGAAATTGTGATTTGTGACAGATTCTACCTTTTAGAATACAATTAAATATCTATATAAACAGATAGGAACTTAAACTAGAAATGTGTAATTTGGACGTTATATAGGACACTAAAAACAATTCACTACAACTAGGCTTCTTATAAATCTTAGAATGTTGACCTTATTTTTGAGTAAATAACATTGAAATAACAAAGTATTACACAACAATTAAATAAGTACACTCCCATGTTTAAAATAAAATGCAGCACCATAATAAAAGTAGTGAAAAAGCAGCCAGTACCACTAATAATTCGGAAAAATACTACAAAAGATACCACTATAAAAACACTAGTGCTAATTCACATCACTACTTGTGACGTCATGTTAGTATATATACAATAACATGTTTTTTCATGACGTCACGTGTAGTTTTTGTTAGCATTCATTGCTTGTTTAGCCCATGGATGGTTTAGCCTTCCAGCAAAAGCTCGGGGTGTTTAGGTCAACATCAGCTAGCAGCTAGGCTAAGAGTCAGAACCCAGCAGTGACGGTTTGAATGAGAGATGTCAACACACTGATGTACTAACACACACATCATGTGCGAAAACATGTGCATTAATCTGGGTTTATTTGGAGGTCATTAAAAATGCGTGCAGTGCAGACAAATCGGTTCTTTAAATGAATCAATTTTTTTTTTAGCAGAGTAGCAAGACATAAACACCCAGTCCTCCTGACTGAGACATGTTTCGCTAATGTCTGTTTTTAAATGTTTTTCTGGTCATTTAGAATACACACAGAGCATCTTACCGGGTAATTTGAGGGCACGGGACAGTGCTGCAGCCATTTCTCCTCTAAAGGATCCGAGAGGCAGCGACGAGGGGCAGCGGTCGGTGATAATCAACTGATGAGAAACACCGCGCAGCAGGTTAGAGCTGCCCCGCTGCATCATGGGACATGGAGTTTTTAGTTTTTGTTTCTTTTGCCATGCTTTCTTTTCAAATATGTTTTTTGTTTGTTGTTTACAATACAGCAAATGTGATATAAAAAACGAAGCAATATGCAGATGTAATTCCAGGAGATGATATTGAGGAAAATCTGTATCTAAACTACACATATAACTTATACACAAAAGTATTTTTAGTTTTCCATATTTTGCAGTCTTGACACTCACTATTACACAACATGATTTAACGATAGTTTACCTTATGAAAGAGGGCAGTACTAAGAATAAATGGACTGTTTATTTGTTTGTACCATCTTTTTCTTAATTACTTAAAATACATAGACATAGAATCGGAGGAATGGAACAGTGAAATGTGTTTAACTGCATTTAACCCCATAGTACTAGGAGGAGCAGTAGGCTACAATCACTTATGAGTTAATATAAGTGATTGTATTATCTGATAAAACAAAACAAACTAAACTATTACAACGAAATTAGCCTATTTTAGGGCTATTTCTGTGAAACCTAGTAGAACATATTCAGGTATCATTATAAAAGCATCTGGCAAAAGCAATGCCTCTGCTCTATGATGTGATTTCAAGTATACAACACTTTGTTTCTTTAAAAAAAAAAAAAAGTTGCGAAGGCTACCCTGCATCATGGTGCTGTTATCGTGGATCAGCTAAGTGGTATTTTATGTTGTTGTTTTCCCATTGACGTATTACAGGGGCTACTCCCATACATACTATTACCTGTTTCTAGTATGTAATAATCTTGTATGTCACATTTAGGTAAGTTAGTGTGAAAAACATCTTGCATACACATTTTCTGCCAAATGAACTATCCCAACATAAGGTCTCAAATTTCCTGTACATTACATGTTACTTGTTAGACGCTTTTATCCAGAGCGACTTACATACTCAATACTGTGGGAAATCCCCACAGGAGCAATTTGGGGTGAAGTGTCTTCCCCAGGGACACAACGACATGCTGACTGCAGTGGTGTTTCAATCTGTGCCCCCTGATCCGAACACATACCCACAGCCCACTGCGCCACATGGCTCCTGTAGATTGTTGTTTTGTTTTTTTACAGTTTAGGAGACAGGGAAGGTCCTAGACCTACGAGGCATCTCACAAAGTAGGTGAGTCACCTCAGTAAGCAGACCTTTACCCCTTCAAAAATTCTTCTCGTTATGTTTACGAGGACACGGGCGTCACCCCGCGTCGTTATTTTCCTTACTCATCAGTTTAAGGCATAGGTAATCAATCGTCGAAGACGGGACTAAACACAATGCCCGGGTGTTCTGGATCACGGTGTCAACCATTGCTCATTGGCAACATATTATTTTCGCTTCCGCCAACAGCTCATTGTGTGTGTTGGTAATGTGTGTGAATTGATTGTGTTAATTACATGTTTTAAAGACAGTGAAGTATATTTATTGCACATAACAATCCACATTTTTTGTGACAATATCGCGCAAAGGCTCATGGGTAGTGAAATCATTATCTCATTTGCCTTCGAGTCAAGAGCAATCAATCGCAGAATATTCTTTTATCACACGGGGCACGGGCAGTGGTTTTGCAGTGAAATCTTAATGCTCTTCCAATCAATTTACATGTAACAGTTATAAGTGAATACATGATCAGTAAATTATGATTTTAAATACAAAACAACTAAAGTGAGTTTCGAAAACCGTGTTCGCATTCTGGCCCAAATCGTTTACCGTAGGGCCAGCGAAAATCGTATCCTACACGCATGGGCAGTGAGGCTGTGTTAGAAAATGGCAGACGTCTCCCTGGATGAAGTTATACGACAGCGCGGTATTAACCTTAAGGCACCAGCGAAACGGTAAGAAAACAAATCCACGACTTGATACGTTTTTGTTTATCAAGGACAAGGAAACTTGTAGTAACGTTTCTTAAGCAATAACGTGAATTGAGAGCTTTTATTGTTGGTAAAATACCGCAAGCTAACAGTAAGCTAAAGGCTAGCTTGGCTACGATGTATATTTTAGCTTTAGGCCTTTTTCTCAGAAGCATTCACTGATAAATGTATAAAATATGAGCGGAGGTGTTAAGTTACTACGTACATTTGCAGCATACAAAGTAATTTAAACTAGATGCACCGTTACGATCTTTGATAAAACACTATATATATATATTATTATTATTATTAGGAAATGGGCCAATTTGTATAATAAGTACTGCATGCAGGACTTTCACTTGAAACAGAGTTTTCTTACACTCTGGTCTTTCTAATTGTACTCAAGATAGGAGTACTTGTCCCACCTCTGAATATGGGTAGATTCAGGAAAATCCTACAAAACGTATTTAAGTCGCACCAACACAAACTCTTGTTACGAGTTAGCTTGTCTTTGTAGCTTCATTCGCCAGGTGTAGCTAGCTTGCAAGCTAATATTAATCAAGCTAGCTTTATCACTAGGTTAAACTAGGGTGGTGGCTTGTTCAAACAATTGTTTAAAACACACTGTCCTTCCTCCATTATTGTGTGAGAAAGTACAGAGGAATATATACACCCGAATTGTTTGTGCAAATAGCAGGGCCCGATATGACAGCTCTTAAATATGTGTTCCCTTTGCTGGGCGACAAAACAAATTATTTCAGCATTAAAATACAAATAAAAACTCTTCTAATTTAAGTGTTACTGTCAAAATATTGAACTTTTCATGAACTTTCAAATGTCGAATAAAGCCCTGTCTTCAGAATCCTGGTGGGTTTTGCTTGAACATTGATTAACTTAAATAAACTCTTGTGCATCTGTGTGTCAGACCAATGTTTGGAAGAGGTGCAGGAGCGGTTGGCAAAAGCTTTGATGCTCGCCAGAAGATTGGGGCTAATGATGTCCGACAGCGGCTTGGACCAGGAGCAGGTAATGGCATCATTGTCTGAAATCACATGCCTTTTTTATATTGAGTAAAAAAACAAATCAAGTTTAGAGGATTTATACGTATTTCGCTCCTAAATTTCAACATTTGATCCCTCAGGATTTCAAGTGAAAGATGCCAGGGAGAAGCTGGTTCAGAAGGATGCTCGCTTTAAAATCCGTGGCAGGGGAGCAGCAGGAGGAGGAGGAGGTGGGGTGCAGGATGCTCGGCAGATGATCAACTCACGCAAACAGGGGCCAAATCTGTTCGCTGTCCCTGCACAGACAATGCCAAAGATGGCAGTAATGCAACATCTGCAGGGCCAGACATTTGTGCCACAGATGCAGATACAAAGCAACTATAATCTGGCCGGTCTGAACTCGAGGCAGTTTAACCCGACTGCACAAGGACTTGGTTTGAGGGGCAGCGCGTCGCCACAGCTGAGCCCTAATAAGAGAGTGATGGATGCTCGGGATAGACTGAGCCTCAAGAGGAACATTGGAGGGACACCGACACAGGGAGATTTTGAACACCCCCTCAAAATAACCAAGACCATCCAGGTAAGTGACTCTCTTCTTGGAATCAAACGGCTCTTTCTATATCGTCGTTTCCCTTCTTTCTGTGGACAGTTCCAATGGGCTAGTGTCATCTGATAGGAAGTGTGTATTTAAAAGTAAGCTGTTTATGACACCAAAACGAAGTGATATAGGCCTATTGTGTCTAGAATATACATGCAAGGGAGACAGCTTGCATAGACTTGATGAAGTGTAGAAGCACACTGACATACTGTATTCTAATATTTGATGCCTTTTATTTACAGCAACGTCCAATGGGAGTCGGATTGTCAAGTGGAACACGGTCAAATACACAGGTAGAGTGTTTTTCTTGGCATGTTTTAGGAAAAATATTTCTCTGAAAGAGAGTCGTGACTAAGATTGGTAAACATGGTATTCAAATGTTTGTTGTCTCCCACAGCCTCTCTCAGATGAGCACGATGGCCCCCACAATAAACAAGTAAAGATGGCTACAGCTAATCATATGCTCAAGTCACGGGTAAGAGCTGCACTCGGTCTGAATCAGCACACAGACCAAATGAATGATTGTGTTTTTGCTACACGAGTGTCTGACTCCTGCTTTTAAATGAACTTCCTTTCCTTCACACAGCCTGGAACAATGGGCTCCACATTCTCCATGTCAGGTCCGATCACCAAGGTGGTTCAAAATGATTCGTACACGGGAGGCGTAAAATCCTAAGTCTGCATCTGGGGTTGCAGTGGGCCTCCAAAGGGGGGGGGGCCAACATACAAGCGCCCTCGACGACGGTGATCGTATGCTGTTTGAATCGTTTTGTCTGCGAGTAAAAGAGTACTCGTTTTCCACTGTCGCGCGATGTGTGTGCAAAGGGGTAGGACCAAATGAGGAGACATTCATCTAGCTTCTATGTATTTAATGTAGACTGAACGGCGATCGACTTCGTAAACAACGATCCAATGATCGACCCACAAAGAGGCTATTCCTCCGGCCCCCTTGTTTTCAGTTACTAATGAAGCCAAGGTACAACTACATATAAAAGTTATGTCTAACAACCCCCCGTGACTTCCGAGATGGCATGATCCAATGAAACGTCGTGCCTTGTAAATGGGGTTTTAGTGTAAATCTGCGCTAGCGTTGTGTTTCATTGGAAAGTTTAGGTAGTAGAAATCCTGGAAGATTTTTAGTATAAATTTCTGAAAGAATAAAAAAAACTTAGTGTAAATTCTGGAAAAATTCCGAAGTTAAGACTAATAGGTTACATTACTGAAAAAGTCTGGGGCGGCCCTGTGACATGTCATGGCCAGTTCTGAAACTTTACTCAGGATTTAGTCTTTTGAGGTGGGAAATCAGTAACTTGGCTTCGGTCACTTTTGGTCTTTCGGGTAAATTATCACGTAGGAACGGATGACCGTGAGTGGCAGGGTCCGTCGCGCCAACAACATGAATGGACATTACGCGTTGCCGCAGGTAGGAATGCCGTGTTTGTGTTGGAGCCGGTGGAGGGTGGAAGCGGTTCGGCAGCGAAGTTTCGGGGTGTGTGTGTCTTGTGCAAGACTCTGCTTGTCTAACTCTATGTTTGTGTGAACACATCCTTTCTCACTACGTGTCGTGATGTCGTGAAATGAGGTTATTCGTTTACATGGTTTTCACTACCGTCAATGACTCTCCTGAGTGGTGATGTACAGAAGGAGTCAACTGCCCCCCACGCTCAAACAAGTGGCATTAAGGAACCAGGGAGCGGGTCTCCTGACTTTGACTGTCCGAGCCTTTTTATATGTGTAGAGTAATAGTTCGTGTTTAGGGTCCGTCTGGAGTTAATTAGACTCGTCGGACACCATTCCAACACGTTTACCTTTCTATCAGGCACAAACGGTAGTAATGTCGATGTCGAAAATTGCAGAACGGGCTACGGTTTAGTCTAATGTTACTTACAATGCAAATCGGAGCCAGTTCAGATGTTTTCTAACCGTTCCTGTTCAAATAATATATGCGAAAAAGTGTGTTCCGTTAAGTTTCACGAAATGTTTTTACGTCTGTCACTATTAAGTTTATTTCCGCGCCGTTTTGTCTTTTCAGAAGTCGGACCTAAAGTTTCATCAAGGTCACCTGGACGTCCAAAGACCGTCAAACAAGTCATGGGAGTGGTTTAGGAGGGGTTGTTTCCGACCACACCGTATGACGCTATTGACATAATGGACGCCCCCCCGGCCCTCGCCCCCCCCCACCAAAGGACGACTCGAGACTACGTGCTCAGGGGACCACTCTTCCCGAAATCCCGGACGTTCGGCACCTCCCGGCGGGGCCGTCTATGTACGGACCCCTAGTAGCCAGGCCCACCCCCCCGGTGCCCCCCTCCTCCGC